GAACGTGTGGTTTAAATCTCATAAAATGACGGTTTACCGCTGATTAGTAGGCAATTCATGTTGAAAAAGAAAATGGATTGATGACACTGTTGCATAAGTACACGAAAACCCTTTGACTGCGCCAGAATGTGAGCTGCAAACATCAAGGTGAGGTAAGTTTCCTATCAGTCAGAGACAAGATTTTGTAATGTGAAATTTCCCAAAATATGTTAATGAGAAAAAACTTGTCTTATTCAACTCCTACATGTCCTAAATGTTTTTAACGTGTAATCTCGGACATTAAGGATTTTTTTGCACGGCATTGCGTACAACAGTCGACTGCAATTTCGATCTCTAGCGCTCGCGCAGATGCACGAAAGTGATGCGAAACTCGAACTGCGCATTCGCAGAATATCAGTAATGTTATAGATTGTCGTAACTCTTCACCGCGTATAGAAGAGCGTGCTCACCCCGCGAGAGGCCCGTGCCCGAGACGGCGCGCGAGGCGGGCGGGAGCGGGAGCGCGAGCGACGCGCGGGCGCCGGGGCTGGAGCCGGGCTCGCACTGCAGCCAGGGCCCCACGACGCCCTCGTGCGCGGCGTCCATCAGGAAGGCGGCGGCGGCGCCCAGCGCCAGCAGCCCCTGCGCGCGCATCTGGCGCAGGCCCGTGGCGTAGCGCGCCGTCGCGGCGCCGGGCCCGCCGGCCGCCGCCGCCGCCTCCCACCCACGCAACACGTTGGCCGCCGTCGCCGCGAACAGCAGACCGCCCACCGCGCTCAGCGTCACAGACTGTCACCAAGCATCAATATAGAAACATCGGTGATAAAGATTTTATGTATTTTATATTTAGCGATTTTGTGTGGGCGGTGAAGTGTGCGTTTTCCTTGCTTTGTCCCAGTATATGTTGTGTGACGACGAGAAAACTCACTTCTCTTGTTGAGAAGACCAGAATACGGCGTAAGGGATGTCTTCGTGCTAACGAACCCCTTAAACTCTTGGCCGCGAGGCCGGGACGCTGCTGGTAGGCCCTAGCCTGTTCGCGGACTGTCGCGCTAAGTACAGACAGACCCCGTAAAGGTCAATTGGTGTCGGCGCCGTTAGATCCCGGGGTTCTTAGTCGGTCATCCAACCTGGAAACCGCGATATGTCAAATTCACTTAACCTTCGTGATTTCACATTCGAATTCGGCTAGCGACACCGGTTTCACGGTCGTGGTCTTTCAGTAGAACCATCCCAACATTCGCCTGGATGACCGAAGGAAACCATGAAAAAATCCCGGCGAGAAGTGCCGGCACGAAGATTGAAACCGGGCCTCCCGAATTCGAAGTCAGAGCGCTATGCTCTGAGCAACTTCGCACGCGTGGTAATAATACATCGACCAAAAACTATTGATATTTTAAACATCGGCGTTTTAAAGTTTGTTTAGGCAGCCAGGATAAAGATCGGATCACGCTAGCTGACGGTACATCGGCGCTGTGTCTAACTTTTCAGGGGGGGGACATAGCCACCTCCTATATGTAAAATATGTAACATACTCGTAAATCCGTACTACACCCACGGGAGTAGTCACCGAAGTACGAGTAGTTGAGGTGCCCGGAATCATTACTCACTCACCCCCCCCCCACTCACTCACTCCAATTGACCTACAGTATGGGGTAGGACCTCACTTCTAGCTCTGTAGGATGTACGGGTAAGCTGCCCAACAAAAAACGAACGCAGCTCGCGTACCTTGGCTGGCGTCATTCTGTTGCTTTCGCTTCCCGTCAGTTTTTCAACTCGTTCAAATCTTGTTTATTACGCTTGATTTATTACACGCTTGATATCTGGCGGAACGCGACTGAAAGGCGTTCGTGTATCTCCGGATTTATTATTAAATTATATAATAAATATATAATTATTTCTATTAAAAATAATAAGTAATTTGGGGCGCATTCCGGGAATTAAAATTGTATAAATCAAGCACTGCTTGTGTATAATATATTACTATTTTATAGGAAAACTGGTAACACTTATTTGCGAAGACATACAAGTTCCCTGCTTCATTTTCACATCGGAGTAGGTGGTGGTGATCACTACAGATATAAATAGTAATGATTGGCATGAGACAGGTGCGCGGCTCGAGCGTAGGAGCTGCAGGAGTGAGTCCGGAGAAGATCACGCATCCCTTCGGATGACTGAAAATAGTGACATACAGCTCGTGTTTTAAGCATTTACGATGATCATTAGTAAAAATAAAACAGCTGAAAGGAAAATAAAAATATTTTTAAAAAAATTTTTGTTGTAACTGTTTCATACGCGTGTAGTTTTCAAATATACCAGCATATTTCGATTCAATGTGTGTTTGGTATCTCCATGAAATATAAAATAATATTTTTGTATTAACCAGATGTTTTATTCCAAATAAACATTTTTCTGTGGTCCTATCGAACATTCATGAATCATGCTGTTTTCAATCCTGTCCAACTGTCGTTTCCACCGTACGTGTGTTCTTAGGTGTTTCAATTATATTTTTGTGGCAATGTGCAGATCATAAGTAGACGTTTTGATGCAATAGAACCAATTTTGAACATTGTCTTATAAATTAGGAAGCCAGAGACCGTTTCCAGTAGTTGTGTTATTAATGGGGCTGCGTGCGCTACGCGTGGAAGCTGACCAGGGACTTGGGCAGCGGGTTGGCGAAGAGGCTGCAGCCGATGGCGACGCCCGTGATGATGACGTAGGCGCCGGTGAGGATGCAGCAGAGGCCGACTCCGGGCCACTGGGGCACGGCGCCATTCATGAAGGCGTCCAACCCCAGCCCCAGGCACAGGCTGGCCAGGCACTGCGCGCACCAAGCAAGCACACTCTACCGTCAACTGGTCTTCTCTGTACTCGCGTAAATGTAGTGTATGTTATATCATGCAAGTGGCGTTGGCCCAGCTGGAACGTGAGACCCGGCGCAACCTCCGCCAGCGGATCACCACTATGACCGGAGAAAGCTTGAAGCACCTGGCTTGTGTGGGGTAGTGTAGTGCATGTATATTTTAAGTGTGTGTTTCTTTGTGTGTGTGAAGGGGGAGTAGGAGACAAAGATGTGGAAGGAAACACAGCGCGCGGTCAATTCGGCATCCAGTGGTGAAAGGCGCTCCGGTGTATCACCATTCCAATTCGGTGGGCTACATCATGTCGCTAGTTTGGCGTTTGGGAATGGTGCTGAACTAGCGCGGTCTCAGTTGGGTTCTCGCTCCTATAGCAGCGCTAGCCCAATCTCTGATGTGAAGCTTCTCTTACCGAAGGAGTGATTATTGTTTGCGGGTGCGTCAAATACTTAAGTCAGTAGTTCAATAAGAGTAGACCATGTTGTGTAACTGCAAGATGCGATGTGCCTCCTCCGCTGAGATCTGTCGCGATCTACACGTCTTTACTTCTGTAACATCTATCGTTTTATACGTTTTGAACTATATTCTTGTATATCTTTTTAGAGAAATCATTGATTTACATAGTAAAAATAAATCTGACAATATTGCAAAGTTATTTGAATCTCAATATTAAATACAAGATTTGTAGTTATTAGTAGAGAAGTAGTTCAGCTGAAATTGTAATTTTATGGAGTAGGTATCGTACCACTTCAATGGTCTTGAGCCGAATGTCAGAGAACCTGAGTCCGTTTGTCTTGTCTGGGAACGAGAGTATGCTTCCGTAGGAATTTGAATTCATGGCTGCTGACTACCCTGGTTGGATCATGGTTATTCAGAATGGATCCTGGCGATGAGGAATATGGTATTTTCTGTGATGGAGAAGCCTAGACTTCGCCCGTTGACGGGGATACGGTTTCATTGTTTTCATACCCATTGTGCGTAAAGTGAACGTGCTCAATATTTTGTTTGCGGTCGGATTGTAGACTTGCTGTTGTCTGTCAGCAATGTAGGTATTCATTGAAAAGGACATAAAAGGGATAAGATTATTTTTTAATGTTGTACTTTAGTAGGGTAAAAATTAATATTTAATTCAAAAAAGCATTTTATTTACAGAAGCTTATTTAACTACTTTCCTTAATGTTCAGAAGACACTGCCTTCATAAAATTGTAATTAGTAATTGAAAACTGAAATAACTGTTTTGTGCCACACAGTATAGAGTATCAGATTATTAGGCCACGCATTCTTTTTAAATGGACATACATTTGTACGTAAAAGACAAGAAATGTTTTGAGGAATTTTATTGTTTAAAAACAAAAGCTATTTTCAGTAATGTTTTGAGAACAATGTCTTAAATATTGTGATAAATAACTGGAATTTCAGGTCGTTATGTTCATTAATTTTGGAATCTGAACACTTGCACATTTTATTTGAAAGGAGCAAAATGTTTTCATTTAGATTACTCGAGTCGAGATTACTCGCAAAGAGTCTTCGAACTTTGCGACCATTGCTTATGCACGTTGTCTTCTACGTACTCTGCCACTAGTATGTCAGAAATCCATTTTCCTTTTTAATTATTTGTGAATTCTGAGGCCAGCATTCAGTCTTATTTGGACGGAATAATAAACATCGTTTTTAATCAGAGAAATAATCGACTACTTTGTTTCAATATTGATCTATGTATGGCACTGCAGGTTTTAAATAGTTGTTACAAAACATTTTTTATAAAAAAATTCTCCCCATTTTATCAAATTTTGTATTGACGTAGATATTAAGAAATGCTTTGCATCTCTTATTTTTTTATAGATACGTGAAAACCTTGCAAACGTCTTTTAATATCATCTACACTAAATAATGACCCCGAGACACAATGATACTGTTCTATAATGAGCAATTCATCCCATTGATAGAACGAGGTCAATTTCTAGTAATCATGGATAGTATCTATTAGTAATTACTCTGTTGCGATACCTTTGCACTCAATCTAATAACTTCGAATTTGAAACATAGTTTGAATTGTTCTAAGAGCAATTAATAATATTTATATTAATTTTTTCGAGCAATTAAGGGCAAAATAAAAAAAAAGTTTTATACAACCTATTTTTTTAAAGAAATAAGTTTCAATCTATTTTGAAATGCGTTCAAGATGTTTGATTGAAACTCTCAAAAATATTGCAGATGCATTTTCAAAAAAATAAAATAAAATAAAAAATCTTGAAATGCAAACTCATTACAGAAGCTCACTCGTCTGCAGAGCCGCTTGGGCCACCCACTCAAGTGTTATGGTTGTATTTAGTTTATTGGGTCTTATTAACCGAAGATGGATATCATGTTCAGTCGTTAAATTTAATGTTTTTTATACCTTCCAGAGAGTTTTGTGTGGAATTGGCACGCCGTGTGTAGAAGAGATAAAACACGTGCATACGTTAAATGAAAGAAAAATCACTGCAATTCGACTTTTAAGAGGCTTATTGGTGATGGTGTGTTTGGTGCGTTTGCACTCGTGCTCTCTTTAGCGACACTATATCAGCGTAGTAATTTTCACACGCACACGTTGTAGTTTATGGGAATGTGATTAGCCGCTTGTTTCCGCACTACTTTTGGAGCAACAAGAACCTGCTCCGACGTTTCAATATTCTGGACCACTGCCGGAGCGCTGTTACAGTTTGAATTTCCGTTCTCACTCACAGCAGTTTTGCTTTGGAATAAGTCACGTGTGAAAGTTGAATACCGCGTCGTAGCAGCATCGTAGGATGAGCGCGTTTGAGCGCCTCGCTTCATGAGAGCGCCACCGTCAGCCCCACGTCGACGAAGTGCGCGGCCGCGTTGAAGATGGCGATAATGCCGCTCGCGATCATCATATCCAGGTACAGCTTCGGCTGGAGGTTGTAGATGCGGTAGTACATGCGGCACCAGTCGGCCAGCAGCACGCCCCCGGCCGCCACCAGCAGGCAGCCGTTAACTAGTAGGAACAGCAGCGTCTGAGAGAAAGAGATACATTATGTAGTATTTACTGGCAATAATTAGACAGCTATGAAACTACAATGTACAAAAGGAAGCCATTATATATCAGTACAAATTTTCATGTAATAAGGTGAAATTGCTTAAATTATTTTGAATTAGACTAGGAAACTAGAGGTGCTATGGCTTACAGTCCGTATTTTATTACTTTACAAAAATCATTACCATGTATTCTCTTTCTGTGTTAAGTAAGGGACAGTTCCAAAGGATGTGATTTCCTGTCCGAATCCATTTCTTATAAATATCACCGCGTACATTTTCCGTTTGTTTGCATTTCGAAGGAATAATGATTACGTCTGCGAATAGACGAAGCGCATTAGGAGACATCTGACGACGGCAGAACGAAACATGCTGCTCGGTGTTGCTCTCTATCGGCTTTTATTTGAACTTCATGGAATGTGCATTCGTGTAAATACTAAAGATCACGTTCTTTTAAGGCTAAATGTCCCGACACTAGTACAATTTGTAGCCACCACGTGGCAGCACCAAAATAAGTAAAATTTACTTTACCGATAACGTTTGAACCAATGGTTCGATTTTCGATTTGTAAACGCCATTTGACGCCTTTTTAAAATAGAATTTACGCTACGACGATCTTTTTCCAAAAATCTGGCAAAAACGCGAATTTGAAATTAGTTCTCCAACTTTCGAGAACAAATTAAAAAATGTGGGCTTATAGCGCGATGGCGACATGCTTCCTGAATTCAACGCCGTGACAATCATACAAATCGGACGAATAGGAGCGTCGTAAAGAGAAATTTACGAAAACACCTCCCTCCCCCTTCCCCTTCTAGGCCGTTGCGTCTTCCATCTGACTGTTGTGGGCCCTCTGCCGGCGCGGCGGCACGGCCAGGCCAGGCCAGGCGGCGTGGGCCAGCCTCGGCGGAGCAGGAGGGAATTGCGGGATTCGCAAGCCAGACAGTCGGTTTATGCGTTTGTCACTTTGCATCTCAATCTATTTTTCCACATATATCAAACTAGAGATGCTATACTACTATCTTTTTCACATAGTTCCGTTTTCCTTGGAATACCATCTTAAAATAGTTTGAGGCATTACTGAAAATATCGTGTCTGATTTGGAACTGGTTTAAAAAAAAATGAAGTAATTCTGTAAATATCACCATTATTCCATCTTCTCATATCTTATTTTAGATATATTTTACTACTAAGGTCTTCTGTTATCATTCCACCTTGCTCTATGATGTTCCGTTGTCAAATATCGGAAAGAATGAGCGTAGTATATGCACGAGCTCTTTTATCAACTCGATTTTTGATCTCAAAACGACGTTTATCTGCTTTAAAGAGTTCATCTTGTGAATATCTAAATAATATAAAATATAATAACAAATACATTTATTATTTCCATAAATATATGTACACAAAATTATACACCTCCCGAAAAATAATCGGCTGGATCCGCTCTTGCTGTGACACCTCTCCTAACACCGTAAGTGGAAGGCGATAACACAGAGACAATCGTACGTAATCGGAAGCGACCGCAGGTCCTGCACAAATCTGGCGTCTCCCACGGCAAC